ACTTATAGGAAGAAGCACAAATACAGTAAATGCCTAAGCTATTAACACAAGGATAAGAAAGGCATGAATAATAGAGGAGGATAACTATCATGATTCAATAGAAAACTTAACTCTGAATCAAAGCCAAAGGAGAGATGGCTAAAACTCACCTCCCCATAAAAGAAAACACGATTTATTGGTTCAAAACGTGGTGTGCTGTGGCCAGTTACAGTTGTTATACCACAAGAGCAGGGAAGATCAGGATGGTACCTGGCACCATCTAGCCCTCTGGGGGAAAGCTGGGTGCTGGGTCTGTGTGGACACTAAGGAGGATCAGTCTGATTGGGGCCAGGAGGTAGAAGCCAGGAATATCCCCAGACCATCTTGGGCCAGGAGAACCAAGGAGGAGGGAACCGAGTTGGCAGAGTCTGACCACCGTCCTGGCAAGAAGAGAGATCAGTCTGTCCACCGAGAGCCCCAGTCACTGGGCTGGGTTCAGAGGTCCAGACTGTGAAGAAGGAATCATGAACTGCAAAGGAGAGCAGGCCCAGGAGCAAATGGAGAACGTGGCTAGAGACAGAGAAAGCAAGCCCAAGGAGAAATGTAAAGACATGCGGCTTCCGCCTTCCCCTACTCAAGACTCTCAAGAATTAGAATTGAGCAGTCTTTCTTTCCTTTGACCAAAGAAACCCTTTAGACTGTGGAAATTGGCTCTACGCTTAAGAATGAACAGCATTTAACTTACCAAAATCTTGCTCTTTGGATCTTCGTGATAAGACGATAGGGTCAAGAGGAATCAAATAGAATACTAACGTCCTCACATCAGTAATGCAAGAATGGTCTGGGATGGTTTGAACCCTATGATAAATGCTTTTCATGAATTTTTTCATTCTGCCATCACAAAAACTCTTTGGAGCTAATATGATTGTCATTCGTATTCTACGGTAAAGAAGGAGGTTCTAGGAATTTGAATAATTTGCTATATTGTTCAGCTAATAAACAGCAAACATGGGCTGGGTTCAGCCATCTAACTCTGAACCTGGTGTCTAAATCACCTACATGTTGTCTGTGAAGTTGATTATACTTCAGCACAGAGCTGTCCCCGAAGTGAGATCTCATTATGAAAAGATTAATCCACACATTTTTGTTTTGCTCGAAGTTTAAATTAAATCATTATACAGGTGAGTAATCACAACTTGGAAATCACCAACATTGTAAGTCCAAAGATATCTTTTCTGAATGATAAGGACTCAAACTTCATTTTCTAGTACCTAACTGCCTTATTCCTCCTACCCTTAGGATCATAGCTGTTATTTAATTTTCAATTTTTTTTTCTTCCTTAAGGCAATTTGAATTACTGGACCAATTTAAAGCTTTCAGTGACAGTGAACTACCTTGGGATCAGCACTTAATAGACCCTGAACATCTTTTCCCTTTCCTTAGAGCTTCAATTTTAAAGTTAATTTCAGCCCTGTGGACTAAAGAAATCTTGGTTTAACTCCTATACCTGCTGTGCTGTATTGTCAGCTATGTTAACAATTCTAATTTCACTAAAATTCATGTTTATTAAAATGAATACGTTAACAGAGCTATACTAAAACAAATCACAAATTAGATATAATCTCAAAGGAAGACGTTAGCCTTTAAAACTGACGAAAATCAAATAAATACCCCAAAAGCATGCATTGTCTAGCATGACCAGAAGGAGGCAGCAGAGGGTAACAGGTGAATGGGCCTTCTGCAGTCAGAGAAGCAATTGGCATCTCTTTCAAAATAGCGCAAACTGACCCGCTTTGAGGGACTCTGGTGTTCCCTGTATTACACGGGCTTGCTAATGCCTCCAACCTTACACTTCCTCATCTGAGACTTGGGATGCTCTTAATATCACATATTGTACAATATTGTGCTGAGATAGGTGCACTAGAAGGAAAAGTTGAGTTAGAATCCTGGATTCAAATCTTAGTTCTGCTATTTTATCCAAAAGTTAATAAATGGTGCCTGACTCATTTTTCTTGTAGAAGACCCTGTGCTAAGGACTGGGAACCAGGCAAAAGTAAAAGCTAATAGTGTATTCGTGGGGCACGAATATAGTGCATTCTTGTGCTCGCTGTACAGATGAGGTACTGAAACTTGGGCTTAAATTACATCCCAAGGTGAAAAGGCCAGGTCCCCAGCCCCAATACCTTGACTCCCAGCCACCTTTCTGTGCTCTGCTGCGCATATAGGGGCCGTGACCACGAAGAGCCCAGCCACATCCTCCATGCTACAATCAAGATAAGAGCAGGCAGAGACACAAACAACAGGGAGACTGAGCCTGTGAGCAAAGGCCCTCTGGACAGGAGATGAGTCTGGAGACGCTCAGCTCAGAGAGCCCTGCCGGCGGGGTAAGGGTTGGACTTCATCTTCTGGTCAAAAGTGAGTCACTGAAGGGCTTTAATGCAGCCCCAAAGTGCTCAGATTTGTGCTTTACCTGGGAGACAGGTGCAGCCGGGGGAAATGAGCTGGAGCAGGCAGCAGCTGGGGTGGGGCCAGCAGGTGGGAAGTCGTCGTTATGGCCCAGGATGGTGAGGAGAGACGTGTCTATAGAAGTCTAAGGGAGGCTGGGGAGGAGAAGTTGGGCCCAACTTATCTGGGTTTGATGGGGATCCACATGACAGAGCGCAGAGGCAGAGGAGCCTGATCTGGGTCCAGTGCCTCTGAGCACCAGGGCCAGGGACTCAAAAGGCTGAGGGTACCCAAGGAGGAGCAGGAGGGCCTTGTTTTTGAATGTTCCCTATTGCGGGTCTGTGGGATGTCCAGGAAGACAAGTCTGGGAGGAGAGTGAGAATAATACCCTCACTTTTCTCTCTGGATTTTAAACTAATCCTTAACTAGAGACCTGTTCAGTAAGCACTTATCGTGTGCTAGAGCCTGGGACTAGAAAACTGGAAAAGAGGTCAGGCCTAACCCCAGAAATCTGCAGTCTGGTAAAGCTGGGCCGTGATCATTGGAGGCATTGACTCTTATTTGGGTGAGCGTCGGCAGCACTGGGACATGAGGAGTGGCTCCATCACTGGACTCAAAGGGCCCCCGAAGCTGCCCCAGAAAGACCCTGGCAAGATGGCTTAAAGGGTGCGTGCCTAGGTGGCGAAGAAGGTGTGGGGTCGTAAGAGCGGGAAGACATGACAGGGAGGTGGTCCCGGTTGCAAAAGCAGGGTGAATCTGGGAAATGCTAAAGGTTTGCTTTGAAGGGCAGGGCAGCAGGCCTGAGAGGCTCTGGGGAGGCTGCTGGAGAGCCCTGCTGGCCGTTAAGCCAGTGCTGAACGGGGAAGAGACAGAGCCTGTGAGTCTAAGGCTACAAGAGCTCACGATCCAGCTGAGAGCTCCCATCAGTCACTCGACCTCTCTCAGGTCCAGGCAGCACAGGGTTATTTGGAGCGTGACACTCAGGAACTGTAAGGATCAGTGAAGAGTTGATCTTCTTTATCTCTAATGTTCATCTGCCATCTTCAGGCCGCAACACTGACCCCAAGACCCACTGTGGAAAGGTAGACTAGCAGAATGGGAGCCATTCCCTGGGCCTGAGCCTGGAGATGGTCCAGCTGGACAGAGACATGACCACCAGCCCTTCATGGCTCTCCATCGGGCCTGTTTATTCCTCTCACTCATGGTTACACCATCCTTTTCCTACTGGCACTCATGTCACTTCAGGAGACACACAGTGTGCCCCTGTCTAAGCTTACAACAAACCCCCTTCTCCCATTAAATGGGGCCACTTGCTGCTGATGGTGTGGTGACCATTTCTGGTTAGGTACACAGGAGGTACTCAATAAGTGCGTGTTAAAGGCAAAAGAGGGAAGGAACGCAGTAAAAGAAACAGAGAGAGAGAGAGAGGGTATCCTGAGGTGCCCTGTCTTTCTTCCCTGCTCAGTCATCACCCTATGCCCATCTCAAGCATGTCAGCTGCCCCTTGCGGTGTAACAGAGCTCCCACCTTCCTTCCCAGGCCCGTAGTGTCACAATCCCTCCTGATGTCACCCAGAGAATCACTCTAGATCTGGGTTTACGGTGCAGTTCTATGGGGTTTCTGTGGTAAGTACTTAAACACTTACCTCTTTTCTCAAACTAATACTAGGGGAGAAATGAGAGTCGACATAAGGTCCAGTTCCGTACATAAACTGATAGCTCAGCATACAGAAGAATCTTTTTTAATTGTGGTAGGATAAGCACAGCTAAGCAGTTGGCACACAAGAAGATTGTGATCCTTGCAAACCTCTCCTCAAATTCTTTCAAGCCCACATCAATCCTCCCCAGGCCCTTAGCCATGGGTGAAACAGCCTTGTAGATAGAGTGCACTCATATACATCATCACAGATGTCTATGACATTGCAGAAGGGCAATAATCCCTTGAATTTCAGGGAAGTTAGAAAAGAACTCTAATGCCATCCGGTAGTTTGAGTGATGTAGTTGAAGATAACAATATGTAACATAACAACCACTGTTAATTCCCGTCATTTTGTTATGAAACCCTGTATCACTTTTAATGCTTTGTTTTGTTTATGTTTGTGATGTTGGTATGCTGCTATTTTTTTTTACTACTCTCTTTAAAATAAAATTTAAAAAAGAACCCTAATGCAAATTGAACATAGCCCAAAGTGATAAGCTACAAAAGTCACCACCTACTTGATGATGTCCAGCTCTTTGACCAAAGGGTAGCTGTTAACCCTTGTGCTGTGACAGGCAGTGTAGGGAATGGCTTGTGTCGAGTCCCAGTCAGGTGGGCAAAGGACACAGACTGAAAGGACAGCACACTGAGCCAACCCAATCTACAGAAAGCCCGGCACAAGTTGAGCTGTTATCAGCTAAAGCAAGTCACCCACCTTGGGGGCCACCCTGAGTACGCATCTACCCCCTGCCCTCTGATTCTTCCAGTTACAGGTGGACAGGTGTTCAGTGTGCAGTGGGAGCTTGCCCGCCTGTCCAGTACCCCACTACACTTCTTGAGTCCATCTGCCCACCCACACAACCCTTGGAGACAAGACACTTCATTTGAGTTTTGCTTTTATTTTATAAGAATATAACATGCTGACAGAGACTGCACACATCACCCACACCAAGGAACCCAGTTCCCTTGGTCAACAATAAATAAATATTTAAACAGTGATGCCTTCCTGACAGGCCCTAAGTGGCTCCCAGCACGCTCAGAGGTAGAGTCTGGTGGGTGGGGGGGAAAGTCAGGCAGCAACTCCTGCTGAAATTCTCCAGGGGAGAAACTGGAACATAGTAATAAATAACAAGGACAATAAGGGTCACCAAACATACATAATTACAATCAACAATGGTAACAAAAGTAATACATGACTCTCGGCATACCGCCAACACATTATACTTAAATAGTTTTCCCCTAGAGGAGTTCAAGTGCACAGAGGGCAGTGTTGGCTCTCCCGGGGCAAGAGGGGGCTGCCCAGGTGAATTCGTCTCCCTGTCCCAGCTCTGGAGCAGGGAGTCTCACCTTGGAATGTTCATCTGGTGCAGCCTGAGGTGGCAGCTGGTTCTGGCTCTCGTAGCCTGGCCCTTCCCAACAGCCACGCTCCCCAGCTTCCATCCCAGCCTCTACATTGTGTCCTGGGCCATTCGTGGTCCCCGCCCCATCCCTCCCAGTGCTCCAGGGTGCATCTCACATCCATAGCAAAGAAACTCGAGACTCCCCTTTCAGCCTGGGGCACCTCTTTACCCCTTCCCGTGCCTGCAGAAAATGCTGGTTTGTTTTCTGTGGGACTTTTGGAGGTCCTGCCAAGAGATTTGTTTCTTATGATCCCTTCCCCCTCATTCCCTGCTGCCCCTGAGGTGTCCACCTCACTCCCCCTGAGCCCCACTTCCAAGGGCACACAGGGCTCAACAGTCCATTCATGGGTGGAACTGCTGCACACACAGGGCGGGCCACCTGCATGAGGCCACCAGGAGCACCAGGCTGCATTTACACACGCAAGGTGGCAGCTTTTCAGGGTTCACGGGTCAGTCAGTCCTTGAGGTATACAAATGTCATTCTGGGCAAGAATCACATGGACTTGTTGACTTTGAAAAGACTGCAAGGAGGGGCATGGGGTGGGCACTGAAAAGCAGAAGCCAAGGTGCCCTGGGGTAACCAGGGACGGGGACAGGTGAACAGGGCAGAACAGGAGATTCCACGACTGGGCCCCTTCTGAGCCCAGTCAGGGAACTAGGAAAGCAAGATGTGAGCAAAGTCAACTGATCCACAGGCAAAGTTCTTCCTCCTCTCTTTCCTTTTCAAGTTTCCCTGGAATCTGTCATTGCCCCAGTGCGAAGGTTGGGTGAGAGCCAGGGCTAACTGCTGTAGCCCCATGGTTGTCCCCAAAGAGCCCTTGGCCACAGGTCCTGGACGTGGGGTTGTTCTCACACATGGCACCCAGCCCACAGTATCTGGAGGAGCGGGTGGTCCAGCAGGCTGCTGGGCCGCTCCCCCTGCACTGTCCTCTCGCACTTGCTGGGCTGAACCTGCCTCCCCAACAGGGGCAGCCGCCTCAGGGATGGGTGACTCCACCTCTCCTCCCGCTGGCTTCCCCACTGCCCTGGAGGTTCAGGTGTGTGAGGGCTCAGCCGGGCTGCAGCTGGACGCAGAGGCAGAGGTGGCAGAGGCTTGGGCAGCCAGGTCCCGGTAGGCAGGCGACTTCAGGAAGCGCGGGTAGGAGTCCTTCTCCATGAGGGTGCGCGTCTTTCCCTGTGCCACGTCAAAGCACATGGCTGTGGCCACCTGCAGGTTCGTCTTTGTCAGCTCCCGAGTCTCATGGTCTATGTTCACCTGTGGAAAGGGGCAGTCATAGGGTCAGAGGTGCAGAAGGGGCCAAGACAGGGGCCTAGTAGGCTGCAGACCGGCCAGCAGGCAGGTGGGGCCGCGGAAGGAGCACAGGAGCTGGTAGTCTCCTGTGGCCAGGACCAGCTCTTGGGCTCCAGGACCATCCTGACAGCAGATTTCGTGTCTGTCTTCCGGTCCCCCAAATCATGTGAGGATGTTCTAAGGGTGTGTGCAAACCCGGCCTGCTTTTGCCTGGTCTTCTGTTACAGCCCTGGTTCAAGTCAGCACCATCTCTCTTAGGTGATCTCCAGGGCTCCCTACTGGGCTCCTTCTGCTTCCCTCACCCACTTGGTCTGCCTGACTTGGCAGCTCGGGGGAGCCTTTTAAAGCCCGCTCTGCCTGGTCAGGCCTTTGCACTTGCTCCTTCCTTGCTAGCACCTACTTCCCTCCCACGCTTCTTCATCTCTCCCCTCATATGACACCTGACGAACAGCCCGCTCCTGACATCCCTCTGACCATGGGAGACCTGGCCTCCACTCACCCTGCCGCAGCCTGCGGTGCTCCTGGTCTTTCATGGCCAGCGTCAGCTGTACCAGAGCATAACTCATCTGACCTGGCTTGTTCATTTAACTGGTTATTGGTATTTTCCATTAGAATATAAGTTCCATCAGCGGAGGGACTTTGTTTTGTTCATTACTACATTCCCTGAGACTATAACAACACCTTGCATGTAACTTCTGTTCAGTAAACCTTTATGGAATAACATAAAATAGTACATAAAAGCAGTCGGAAAACAATAGATACAAAAGTAAGAGTAAGGCATTCCTCTAATTTGTCCACTAGGGGGCTCCATGTTTTTATCAAACTCAAAACCCAGGCAGAGGAAGCCAGAGAAGGAAGGTATGCAGAACAAAAGTCCACAGACCACAGGTCAGCCAGGAGACTGGTCAGGCTACACAAGGTCCCCAGAATGACCTTGTCTCCAGTTGTTAAGTATGCTCAGGGTCTAAAAATAACTTTGTAAAAATAATTTACAAAGGTGTGTCTGGACAGGAGTCAAAAATCCTTCTGACCCATCCCACTCCACTGCGTCTGAGGGTGATGTCCAGCAATAGCACTGCCCTAGCTTTTCTAGTCTCTGGCCACAGGAGCCCAGTCTCCCTGTGAATAGCCCACTCAGCTTCAAACCCCACCCCTTCACGTGCCAGCCCCCCACCTCCTGGGCTCTCCGTGGGGCAGGGGAAAGATGGTCTGAAGGATTCGTGGGCCGTGTTGGGGCACTGACCTCTTTAGGGGCTTCGCTGCGAATGAACTCATCAAAGATGCAGTGAGCCCTGGAGGCCAGTTTGGCAGCCGATCGGATCTTCTTGAACTCCTCACAGGCCAGCCAGAACTCCAGGTTCTCCTCACTGAACTCCGTCTTCAGGAAGGCGTGGAAGGCGGACACTCCATCTGAGGGGGGAGGGGAGAGAGAGGGGAGACAGGTCAGACTGGGGGACAGCTGGGGATAAAAGAAGAAAAGATAGCAATTGCAGTTAATGGCTCTATTTTTAGATATAATCTTCTCGAACAAGAGCCCGCCTTTGTACTTTGCATAGAGGCTGGCGCACCAGAGGATCATTATTATTATTGCTATTGTGAGTTTTCTGCCCGTGTTTTCAGCCTCCCTGGCTCTAAAGCACACGAGTATGCACGTGCCAGCCACAGACCGACACAACTGAGCTCTACTCACTTCTGCTGCTCAGCAAGGAGTCGAAGGACTCTCTCCACCTCAGCACGTCTTCCGCGATGCACCTGCTAAACAATAAAAAAGCAAGATTAAAAACATGTTTTAAGTCTACACACCAAATCACAGCACAAAGTCTATCTAGAACTCTGATGAGAAGCTGCATAATTTACACAAAGACTTGCTCAGTCGTTGCTGAAGCTGACTCCTCAAAATTAGGAGAGTTTAGCTCTGGGTGTAGGGTAAGTGGGGGTGTTTTCTAAAGGACAAACCAGCAACCAGACGCTGAAGCTGGGGACCCTTTTGGCCGCAGTCAGTATCTCTAAGAGTGTCTCTTCTCTGTCTAAAATCACTTCTATTTGCCTGACTCTTCAACCTGTGTCTTGTACACCTCCCTAAGGAAAGATGGGCCTCAAAAGAGGACACCATCGCCCCAGGGCAGCCCTGATGGTAGCACGAAAGGGATCTCGGCAAGGTGCATGCGCCGATGGAAGCAGAGTTGTTAATAACAGCCTCAAGTGGTCTTGGATGCCGTGCTGTGACACCTCCAAATGCGAGGGTCTGGTAAGCGGGCATTCATGCCCGTGGTGCAGTTGTCTGTTGGTGGACTTAGAACCCTGAAGCCACCTATCCACTCACCCCTGAGCCAAATAGCCATAGCAACAAAAGCCCCAGTGAAGGATTGCCCAGGTCCACCTAGCATGTCCTAGTTCCTCCTGGTATTTTCTTCCTCGGGCTCCCTCCCTCCTGGGGGCCCTTGGCCGGACAGAACTTACCCTTCTTTGTTGGGTTTACTGCCCCACTCAAACTTGCCAACACCGCCAGTATCAGAGCCCAGGTCTGACTTGTGAAGAAAGATCCCAAGACGTGTCTTGAACACTTTGGCTCTGAAAGACAAATCATAAGCATGGAGGGATTCTGCTCAGCCACAGCAACCCTCTGGCTGTTCCCAGGGCCAAACGTGTGCTTTTCTTGTTTCCATGATCAAGCCTGAAGCAACAAAAGCAAGTATGAGCTGTACCTTGGGTGGCGTTACACTTTTAAGGTTACAGCGCTGTATGTATATATCGGCTTTTCCTGTTTAAATCGCAGTGATCTATCTTTGTGCCTCTTGATAGCAGCTCAGCATCCCTCAGGCTTGTCAGGATATTTCTGGATCTGTGTGGACACTGATCCCTGCCTTCATCTTTACCTCTCCCTCCCAGCCGCTAGCTTCAGTAAGGGTTACACACTGCTGAATAGCTCCCTGGAAAGTTTGCACATCCCTCACAGGTGGGACACGGGATGGATCCTCCTGCTTCCCCGGGGCAAAGGAGGCCAAGCCCCTAGCTCGGGCCGTGGGATGAAAACTAAGCACTTAAGGAACGAGGAGAGCCTCGGTTTTGCCTGGAGGTGCCAAAAGACTCATCCTGCGGCAGGGTCTTCAGCAGAACTGAGAAGTGCCCTTTGTCACAGGATGGGAACGGCAGCAAGCAGCGGAGCTCGGCTTCCCTCACCTTTCCTTTTCCCTCCTGGCATCATGGTGCTCTCTGCCCCACTACTCAGGTCACTAGCGAGCCACTCCCCCTCCCGCCCAAGTCCCCAAGCCTGCAGCTCCACTCCCTAACAGTTGGTGGGGCTTGGACTTTTTCCTCAGAGGAGCTGAACTGCTCTTACCTCTCCAGGCAGGTGGTGGGGAAGGTGGCCAGGGTGCGGCACATGGTTGCGGGCTCAGGGCAGCACGTAGTGGTAAGGATGGTGACCGGCTCCAGTGGGCTCGCGGCTGGTAGCTGCTGCCACAAGTGCGGATTGGAGCTGCACGCGCCGGGTAGACGCTACCGAGCCTTTTATCCCCTCGGAGCGGCGGGGCGGGGCGGGGCTGGGCGCCGCTGACCAATCGGAGAGCCCGCGCTGGTGAAGGCGGGGCCGCAGCCCGAAGGGGTGGGGCGCAATTGGCAGTGGAGTGCCCGCGGCGGGGGCTGCCCCCTCCTCCTCCGAGAAGCTGCAGAGATGAACCTCGCGCACCAGCTTGGTAGGAAAAAACCCGCCGACCTCTAGTAAAATCAGGAAACCAACGCAAAGGTGTCGGGAGGGTTTGCGTGGAGGTGGCAGGTCAGGGAGGCACACACGGAGGCGATCACAGGAAAATCTGAGTCTCTCGGGTCTTGAGGGACAGGAGCATGGGGTGCAGCCTGGGCAAAACCGCATCATGCTTATACCGATAATTACCGTGTCCTGCTTTCCTACCCCGATGGCCACCGGGCTGAGGAAGCTCTTCATCACTATCATCATCACCATTTCCATTTTCTAATCCAAGAAACTGAGAGCTGAAGAGTAGAGACTTGCCCAAGGACAGAGTTGGAAGCAGCAGACATATAGGGAGGGTGAGGTTTATTGAACCCCTATTATGTGCCAGGCACTTTCAGAGAGACTGAGAATTAACAGATTGCTGTAAGTGGTGCCAGAGTTTAGTTTTCAGATATGAGCTAACCATGCTTTTCCCAATGCAAAATAAATAAATAAGAATCCCACTACACCCTAACTGGTCAGTGATGGGGAACAATCAGTCTCGTGCTGGTCTCCTCATCTCTGAGGTGAAGGCACTAAATACCCCGCCTCTCCTCGTCCTCCCACGAAGGTATTACAGCCGCGCCCATTGCCCCTCAGTTCTCTTTAGGGCTGCTAATTTTTTTTTTCTTTTTCCTATACAGGGTCTTGCTAAGTCAGTCAGGCTGAGCTTAGACCGACACTGCCCCTGCCTCAGCCTCCAAGGGTGCTGGGGTTACAGATGTGTGCCACTGTGCCCAGTTTGGAATTGCTATTAAGCAGCTGTGAGTGAGGTTAAGACTGCAGGGTTTAGAACAGGACTTCCAGATTTCAAGCCATAGCTCTGCCATTGACGAATGGGGTACCTCGGGCAAACTTCCTCACCTGTCCATACCCTTGTTTCCCTGTCTCTAAGACATCAATGCACTCATTTTGCAAGGTGGTTGAGAGGCCTGAATACGTTCCTTCTTCATCTGAGTTCCCCAGGAAATGCATTGCGAGGCAGAAGGTTGCGTGCGGGAGGTTTGCAGGGGAGAGGGAGGGAAGAAAGCAGGGCTGGGCGGGCGGAGGAGTGGATGCTGTGCAGGTGGAGGAGCCCCCAGCTGCCTCAGGACAGGCTCTGGAGTTCCGGGGTCCATTCAAAACTACCACTGAGACAAAGGGGCTGCGCCTCAGTACACCACAGAAACGCTCTCAGATGTGGCTACCCCAAGAAGACCGCCTGGTTTTCAGCAAAGTGCACCCTCCGCCAAGAACAACTCCCAGACAGAGCCTACAGCAGACACCTCTCAGGAAGGGAGGCCTCTGACCCCAGGAGGGGACCCGGGGACATATTAAGGCTGTGACAGGGCTCAGCATGCAGGCAACTCTTGATAAATGTTAGTTTTCAGTTTTACTTAGGAATACTGGGATCCTAGGCAGTAAGGAAGAATAGCAAGTATGCTTGAGCCTCTTGGTTTTTATTTCATAAGGGCCATCTAAGGGTTGCTTTCCTCAGAAGGCATGCCCTGTGTTCCTGGAACTAGGGGTCAGAGAAGAGAGACAGAGGGAGAAGACATCCTATCTGTGAGCTCCTCAACAAGGCTGAGATGAGGGGAAGAAAAGGTAAAATCATCTTGGGGGAGAAAAAAGGGGAGGCCTATGAGTTAGTGGCTAAGTCTTCTGGGGCAACAGAGGCCAACATCAGAACACGGTGGGATTGTTTGTTGGAGCAGGTGCCCTCCTTGAGCCAGAGCCTGTGGAAGATGACCCAGTTAGTCACACAGCACACTCTGAATTGCCAGTCACGGCCCTCCACAAATGTCCTGGTTCCTTTGTGAAGAACAAAGCCGGCAGGACAGCAGCAGCCTCATACAGAGCAGTCCCATCTGGTCTCGGACACCAGCATCCCACCGTGTTCCTGTCCTGCCAGCCCAGCGCGTCTCCCTTCCTCACAGGCCCAGGCACGGCCCAGTGCAGGGCCGTGGTGTGCGGCCATGAGTGGGAGGGTGCTGTGGACGTCAGTGTTTCTCAGTGGTCCTTTGTCTCCAGGGCGAAGCAGCCCTCCCAACCCTGTCCCGTCAGCAGGACACTGCGGGCGGAGCTGGTCAGCTGAAGGTTCATGCTTCACCTGGTGCTGCCCGTGCCCCGAGTCACGCTTTTATTCTGCAGCTGCCAGGCGAAGATGTGGGTGTTGTCTGTGAGGCAGCTGTTCTCCAGGCAACAAAAATGAGTGTATGGATGGGTCAAGCCCATGTTTAAATCAGCCTGGACATGGCTGCACAACAACAATAATACTGCTTGTGCGGAGACTCCCCTCAAACCTTCAAGTCCTTTCTGCGTCCCTATGAATAGACCAGAGGAGGTTTTAAATTTCCACTTTCCAGACAACAAAGCAGCAGCGCCTGAGGTGCCTTTAAGCCAGCGCCCTGGAACTGGGAACAGCTGAAACCAGGGCCCCATCGCCAGATTCCTGAGCTCGTACTTTCTGCTGTTCAACAAAGAATGCGAAGAGACAAAGGGATTAAGAGACTGGCAAATCTGCGAGCACAAAGCTCCCCGCTGAAGATGAAGAGCCCTCTCTGCCTTCAACCTGCCTCCCGGTTGCCATGGTTACCTCTTCAGTTTCCAGGCAGAAACTTTGTGAAGTTCTCAATTTATCCCAAATTCTCTTCCCAGCAGGTAGGTTTGTATCTGCAGTTTCAGTAATGCGGATGCCTCGCCGGTTGCTGTAAATCCCGCCATTAAACTCACTTTAGAACCTGACCTCATTTCTGTCCAGGACTCAGTGCAGCTGTGATCTCTTTAATGGAGGGTGTGGGGGCTCAGCTCTGCAGCCTGGGTCATCTGGGATCAGCAGTGTGGGCAAAGCCGGAGTCAGGATTAAACTTCCCGCCGTATCCCGGGTACCCCGCCCTTTATGTCCGTCAGCCCCTCTGACGCCCACCCCCAGAACACCCTCTCCAGAGAAGCAGAAGTCTAGACAGGATCTTTGTCTACTGAAAACGGGTAGAGGAAATGAAAACACTCAATTTCTGGTTCCACACAGATGATTCCTACTGGCGCCTCCACATTTAGTCATCAATCTACCAATAAATATTCATTAAGAAGTTACCATAGTCCCAAATTGGTAGGGAGACTGCTCATAAGGCTCTTCCCTGACTCAAGGACCTTACAATCCAGCCTAGAAAACATATCTCCGCGTGGGGAGGGGAAGGTGAAAGGACCTATTGTCTGCTGTCTGAAACAGATGTGGAGGGAGAAGGCTGACCTGAGGATCAGCGGTATTAAAAAGAGAGGGTGGGGCTGGGGATTTAGCTCAGTGGCAAAGCGCCTGCCTGGCAAGCGCAAGGTCGTGAGTTCGGTTCCCGGTACCGGAAAAAAAACAAAAAATAATAATAATAATAATAATAATAAAATAAAATAAAATAAAATAAAATAAAATAAAATAAAAAGAGAGGGAGCAGGCTTGGGCGGCCAAGGCAGGTGGTGAGGGTTAGAGGCAGGACAGGTGGAAGGGAGCCTGCTCTGAGTTGAAGAAGCAGCTAAGAAAAGGTTGCTGAGGTTTGGGGTTAGGGTGTAGACACAGAAGGATGCAGGAGTTCCTCAGATACCGGCATGTGGGGCGTAATAGGATATTACTTTTAGGTTTGGGAGGATGAAACCAGCAGGGACAGCTTGTGTCCTGAAGCAGCTGGATAAGGAGCAGCAGTCACTTCTAGCAGATGTGAAACAGTCCCTGGGGATTTCCCCATCAGGTCATGACAAAAGCTTTGGGGCCCCTCCACTCCCAGGGAGGAGAAGGTGCCCGAGTGCAGCCTGGGTGTAGGAAATGACTGCTTTCCCCGACTGCCCTTTAGGGCAGAGGGTGCAGTTCACTTTGCTGCCCTATTGGTCCTTCTGGTTTCTTCTCCTCTTCCCTCGCTCGCCCTCCGGCTTAGAGGATGATGTCTAGACGTCTCGGTGTGGCATTTAAGGCTCTAGCTCCCCGGTCTCATGTCCTTTGCCTCACACCCTAAAGTCCAGCCAAACTGGAGCACCATGCCACAAGCTGCTGAGCACTAGGTCTCTGGGTGCGAGGATCCCAGTGCACTCGCCCCCCACTGCCAGGCCCTGCACCCTTATGACTCACTGGCAAAGTACTTCTCAGTAAACTTATTTTGTCTATGAATTGAGACATCGTTCACATAAGATGCACATATCATGGGTGCAGAGCTTGATGAGTTTTGACTAATGTGTGCACCCGTGTGTCCCATACCCAGTCAAGCTGCAGGATAATTTCATCACGCTAGAAATTTCCCTTGTGCCCCTCCCAGCCAATCCCACCCACAAACAGACATGACCCCTGATCTGAGTCCTGGAACCATAGACGTGTTGATTCCTTTTGGCTTTTCCACTTTTTTTTAAGGGAGGTATAAGGATTAGATCCAGGACCTTCCCATTGAGCTATACCCCCAGAACTTCTCTGTTTTTTATTTTGGAAAGGGTCTTGCTAAGTTGCTTATCTGCCCAGGCTAGCGCTAAACTTGTGATCCTCCTGCCTCAGCTTCCCAGAGTGTTCTACCCAACTGGCTTTTCTACCTAGTTTTTGAGACCTAGCTCAAAATACCTCTTTCTCCCCTAACCCTCCCTATCTCCCCACCTCACCCCATCTCCGAGCAGAGCTGACCAGGTTCTCCGAGCTGTGCCTGTGCCCTGGTCATTCTCTTGCCCCATCCTCACTCACAGAATTGGTCTGCAGTTTCCTCGATGAGCTCCTGAAGGCGGGGACCACTGCATTCCCCAT